CATTCAAGCAGATCCTTCCCGTTATATCAAATCTCCTGCCGCATAATAGTCCATACTTCAAATTAAATCCGTAGACCCCAATCACAAATCTCTGAAATTCTCAAATCATTCCAAACTCTCCTTAAGGTGCGTAGTCATCCTACCACAATGCCCATATGCAACTCCGCCACTCTCCCACTTTGGCGGAACTCATCCCTTTAATCGACTACTCGCCTTTTGCTCCTTATACTTGGCCTTCTAGAAATTTTAGCCACCGCCTGACACTTCCCAAACATCTTTCCTCATTCTTTGCTGCTCAATTGTTGCCTTAGATGAAATCCAACTTTGTAGCACTTGAACCCACAAATCGCTACTAACTTTAAACCTTTTTGAAGATCATCTTTCTCGAGCCGTCATCCTTAGAAACACCGGTTCCATCTTGAACCCGCACCCCGCGATCTCTAACCGTCGCTTCTTTGATACTGACCCGCAATATCCTGCTCCAAAGGCAATTGTAGAAGGTCATAACGCCGGCGAATTTAGTACATTCAATAAGGACATCGACACCTCATTATAGAAGAAAACTCCACCACGCTCGCAAATGCCTAGTCTTGTTACCCTATCAACCCAAACCTGAACATCCTCAGCCCGTTTGCCTTCCCCTTTCCGGGAATAAAATATCGAATCTCTAGATCATGCACTGAGTAAACCTCCCTTCAAGTCGTTCACTGCCTCGACACGTAGGCAAACATCCTACCATCATATTAATACTGTGGAATAATCGTTCATAAGCATCATGGCAACCTGTGCCTAGCCTCACGGCTCTCAAAAGTACCGCTACTGAGCTGAATCAATAGAATATCCTTCCACAAGGCGACGATAATAGCTTACACAACCTCGCAGGGAGAAACACCCCGCACCACGTTCGTAGTATAATTACAATCCTTCAATTCTCGATTTATAACAAGCGGTTCGCGTCGTGTAAGATTGAGTAGGAAGGAAACAAGGGCCTAAGCCTCAAGGAATCAAATCGCACGACGAGGAATCAAGAAGGGAAGTACTCCTAACAGCCCTGTAGCCTCCTGAGATAAGTACAGACGTCTCCGTACCGATCCGCGAGACTCTACTAGACTTGCTCATGACTCGTAGGACCTACGGGAACCTAGTGCTCTGATACCATGTTGTCACGACCCAAATCCACTAAGGGTAGTGGTGGCGCCGGACATCGCTGTCAGGCAAGCCAATCAAACTACTTAATCAAATTCTCCTTTAAATATTTCCGAAAACACTTCTTTTATACATTTAAAACAATACATAGTAAGTTCCTCCGAATAAATAATGAAACATTTAACAACCTTTAAATTTTACGAATAAACCCAAATACATCCCAGAACCCGGTGTCACAAGTACATGAGCAATTACTAAGGAATCGAATAAAGTACAATAACTGTCCGGAGTACAAGTGGACGGAAATGGAAATACCATACAGTACTCTGAAGGAGACTCTGCTGACTGCGATCGTCTCGATAAATGCAACTCACCTAAGTCTCCGTATTAACCATGTCGCTATGCCACTAAGCCGCTAGCCACATACGAACCTGTGCAATAAAAATGCACAGAAGTGTAGTATGAGTACGAAAACAATGTGTACCCAATGAGTATCCCGTCTAATGTCGAAGAAGTAGAGACGAGATGGTCGACTTCGACACTTACTAGTGGTCCAATAATGATATATTATTAAGGCGAATAATCAAGGATTTATTAAGAATGACAGTAATTTCAAGTAAGTCATGAACAGGTGAAAGTTCCTTTTTTATATTAAAAGTCTCAAGGTTCATAATCCAATAGTTTCCAATTATCTCAAGTCGGGGAGAGCAAATACCAATCTCAAATAATCTCAAGGCAAGCAATACAAGCATGCGCAAATCATGCCGAGGACGTACGACCCGCTCCAATAGAAAATAAACTGTGCACTGCCGAGGGTCGAACGACACGAACCATAGATGCATCTATTACCCCGCTCGCGAACTATCCTGCGACGCGGTCAACATAAAATAAACAAATACCCTGCTCGCGAATCATACATGCGACACAAGTACACATAGGGATACATGCTCAAATAGCAAATTAAGAATTTATCGGGGAATATTTATCCAAATAAAAGCAAATCCTCTTTTAACAATTTAAGAAAATGGAGTTTAATCCTTTTAGCAATTCATTTACTAATTCATTGTGACTTAAGCAATTCAAACTGTCAATAGGTTTACAATTAATCCAAGTATAGCACGCTTTTGTGTCCTATACTACCCGAACAATATCATAATAGTAGCTACGGACGGACTCTCGTCACCTCGTGCGTACGTAGCCCCCACAAATAGGAGCACATAACCAACTAACTCACCTATGGGGACAATTCCCTCTTACAAGGTTAGAAAGGAGACTCACCTTGCTCCGAAGATCCATAACCGGCATTCCACGCTCCTCCGAAGACTTAAATCGACGCACAATGCTCCAAAACTAGTCAAGGATTATAAAAATCCATTAATATATTCTCAATTACTCATTACAATCCAATTTATAGCAATTCCTAACCCCGATCGAAAAGTTGACAAAAACGCCCTCGGGCCCACGTGCCCGGATTCCGAAATTTCTCGAAGGTAAGGTTTACCCATGAACTCACGAACTCAAATATACGATTTTCTCCTAATTCCATACCCAAAATCGTGGTCAAAATCCAAGAATACTAATTGTCTAGGTTTTCTTCAAAATTCCAAAATTTCTACTAATTTACATGATTTTTCATATTAAAATCTAGATATAATCCAAGTAATTAACTTGCAATATGTGGGAATCACTTACCTTGACATGGATGATGAAAATGGAGCTCCAAAATCGCTCCTAGGTCGGCTCCCATGGAGAAAATGTGATGAAATGAGGCAAACCCATTTCATTACACTTATACACTGCCCAGACGAGTCTTGTTCGCGTTTGCGAGGCCCCCATCGCATTCGCGAAGAAGAAAGTTCCCAAAAATCGTTTTTCATACTCTTCTCAGAAAACCTCTAGTGTAATGGCCATAACTTTTTGTACGTAACTCCAAATTACAAATGGTTTAATGTTTTGGAAACTAGAAACCAAGATGTACAACTTTCATGTTTTGGTTATCTCCCAGTTCCTTATATATTTTGAAATATAAGCTGCCAAAGTCAGCCCTGTGCAATACAAATTTCTTCTTTATCTTTCCGGACAGTCTATAGTTTACCAGCCATAACTTTTGGTACACAAATCCAAATTCCATATGGTTTATATTTTTGAAAACTAGACACAAAGGGATACAACTTTCATTTTTGGATCATCTCCAAATTCCTCATATATTGTGCGATATGAGCCTCCGAAGTCAGACCTGTGCAGCAGAAATTTCCTTCTACGGGAACGCGGGAACCTCTTCGCGAACGCGAAGAACAGAGTCCCTGAAGCCAAATCCTTCTTTGCGAACGCGTGAGGATCCCCGCGAAAACGAAAAACAACACCAGGTACCGGCATCAGCTATTTCAAAACAGCCCGAAATGATCCGAAACCACCCCGAAACACAACCGAGGCCCCCGGGGCCCCGTCCAATCACACAAACCAGTCCCATAACATAACACGGACCTGCTCGAGGCCTCAAATCACATCAAGCAACATCGAAATCATGAATTGCACCCCAATTCAAGCTTAATGAACTTTAGAACTTCAAATTTCTACATTGGATGTCGAAACCTATCAAATCACGTCCGATTGATCTCAAATTTTGCACACAAGTCACATTCACGGACCTACTCCAACTTTCGGAATTGGATTCTGACCCCGATATCAAAAAGTCCACTTCCGGTCAAACTCCTCAAAAACCTTCAAATTTCTATCTTTAGCCAAATGATTCCAAAATGACCCACGGACCTCTGAATTCACTTTCGATCGCGCTTCCAACTCCAGAATCACCATATGGAACTATTCCCAGACTCGGAATCCCAAACGGACATCGATAACACTGAAATGCACTTCAAGCCAATCTTATGAAATTTCTTCCAAAATGCTAACTTCCACAATAGGCGCCAAAATGCTCTCGGGTCATTCAAAACCCGATCCGGGCATACTCTCAAGTCCGAAATCATCATACGAACCTGCTGGAACCTTCAGATCCTGATTCCGAGGTCGTTTACTCTGAAATCCAATCTCAGTTAATTCTTTCAACTTTAAGCTTCCGAAATAAGAATTTTCTTTCCAAATCAACTCTGAACTTCCCGAAATTCAATTCCGACGATGCGCACAAGTCATAATACCTGAAATGATGCTGCTCATGGCCTCAGACTGCTGAACGATGCGCTAGAGCTCAAAACGACCGGTCGGGTCGTTACAAATTCTATGATCCATTTATCATTGCACAAAATGTGAAACAAGTGTATTATGTTCCTTATCCTTTGAGCAAGAATAAGTCCACATGGCGGATAGTTATAAAAACAAAGCCTGTAGGTAGAGTAGAAGTTGAGAATGCATTAGAAGTCGCGTACCAGAATGATATTTCGAGTGTTCAAGAAAGTGTTGATGATGAATTGGTGGGTGAATTGCAGCATAGTAAAGGCATCTATGAAGAATATGATCCTTCGGTCCTTACTCGTAGAGCAAATCAACATGATTTTGAGGAAGGAACATCCCGTACAAACATGGATGAAGATCCTGCCGATGAACATGAAACAAGCGAGGAAGAATCATTTGATGAACATGAAACAAGCGATGAGGAAGAATTGCTTGATGAAAATGAAACAGGCGATGAGAAAGAATTAAATAATGAATATCAATCAAGCGAAAAGGATTGACATGTTGGTGACACGGCTTGTGATGAGTGATGACTTTGAAATGATCTGTGAAAGCAAAATGAGGATTGACATGTTGGTAACACAGCTTGTGATGAGTGATGACTTTGAAATGGCAGCTAAATGGTGTTTTGCAAACTAATCTGTGAAAGCAAAATGAGGCTAATTAGATATCAAGAATGCCTGACAGCAGCACATGAGGATGCAGACAGATTTAGAGCATGTAATCAATCCACATGGGATGAGGGAAGGTAAGGCCTGCAAATGCAAGACATCTGCATTTTCCCTCCACATTAAACCATAATAATAATACTACTAGTACTTTACTAACTATTATCAATGTTAGATAAGAGTAATTCTTTAATATTTCTTGCCAACTCCTCCCTCACTATCAAACTCATTATCACTCACATGTACCCATTTTCCCCCCCTCTCTCTCTTTCTTTCTCTCTCTAACTAATACAGTACTTGTTTCAATCTCTTCCATTGTATTTGTGTGGGCTGTTCTTGTTTCTCCTTTTATTCTCCAAGAAAATTAACATTGAAACATTTACTAGTGGATCTATAGAGATGACCCTCTTACAGTTCTTGCACTAATGTTACTGATATTCACTTTCTTGATGTTATAATTGTTCTTTTGGGTATCTCAGCTCTTTCTTGTTTTTACTGGTAAGAGATTGAAGCACTGAAATTTTGGCATATTTGTGAAGTTACTGGAGAAAAAAAGTCCATTAACTTGATACAAGCTGTGTTACTCATCACAACTTGCAGAATAATTTGAATTCTTGTATATGAAATTAAATATGAGTATTTGCTTCTTCTGCCATGAAAATTTGAATGGCTCTGTTAGGATAATGTCACGTAGGAATTGTTGAAGTATATTTGTATAGAGTTGGTGTAATTGTTATCTCATTTAGATAGTGACTACTTTGGAGTCTTATTCTCCAAGACCCTCGTGTATATATTTACGTATCTGCATACAAGAATAGAGTGCTTAAGCAACGTTTTCTGATCTATCACAGTGCACATTTCCAGTATGTGCATGACACAGTACCAAATTATCAAATTACCAACTGTAGCTTTTATGTGTTCGTTATTCATTTAATTTAATAAGCTGAAGAATTTTTTTTATATTTTTTATGTCTTAACATATTTCATCTAATGTTTTTAATATACTTATGTTACACAGATGGCATCGGGAAAAAAAAAGAAGATAAGACACAATTCCCAGCTTCCTCAGTACACTTCAGCTCCCACTACCTCGTCTGTGCCATTTATGGGTCCTCCTCATCCTCAACCTCCTCCGCCTCCTCCGCCTCCGCATCCGCCTACTCAGTCGACTTCACTGCCACCTGGCTTTTTCACTTTGCCCCCTTGTGATCCAGTTCGATATAAGCCTATCTCTAATTCCCAGAGCATGCACAATATACCATCTTCTTCGCCAGCTTATCGTACTAGTCAGCATGGTGGCTCCTCATCTATGCCTCCGTCATCATTCACTCCATACCCAAGCTACCATGTTAGTCAGAATGATTATCATTTGTTGATAATCTTTCCTGATTCATAGACTGATTATCATTCCTGATGGGACTACTGGATAAGCAATTACTTTATTATTCGTTTGAATTGTTGAATATATTTTTAACATATGTTCCTAGGAAATATGTAATTAATAATGTAATCTAACGGAAGTTGAATTGATGAATACTTTTTGCTTGCTAGATTGCCCAGACAAATTGAACAAATCTCTTTTCGTAGTTGGAGGAAATGAATTCTACTTTGCCTTATTGCAAGGTAAAACGTTGGAAGAGTCGCGAATGATAGTGCCAGAAGTTGTTGAAGCCATCATTCATGGCTTTAGAGTGAGTTTTTGATTTTATATGGTATTTATATTTATTTTTTTATACGCCCAGGCCCAGCCAACTAGTGATCTATTTACTTAATTATATACTCAGCATTTCTCCCGTATTTTGTCGATGTGGTATTTGCCTAGGGTGTCACTTTATATACTTATTACCTAATTATCTGTTTACCTTTTTCAGAGGGTCATTAGTTTGGGGGCTACTCGAATTATAGTTCCTGGCAATTTTCTAGGTGGTTGTTTTCCAATTATCCTAACCAGATTCATGACGGACAATTCAAGTGCTTACGATGAGCACTATTGCTTGAAAGATTTCAATAATTTAATAATCTTCTTGAATGAGCATTTGCGGCAAGCCATTCTAGACCTAAAGAAAGAGTACCCAAGCATTACACTCATTTATGGTGACTGCTACAATGCCTATCTCTGGCTTTTACAAAATGCCGTCAGTCTTGGTATGTGATGCGGATTCATGTTTTGACAGTCTCGGTTGGTACGTATCATGATTTGGGGCTTGGGCATATGTTCGGAATCGAATCCGGAGGTCCCTAGCTCGAGTTATTGCATTTAGTTGAAATTTGAAAGTTTAAAAGCTTAATGACTTTGAATGTTTGACCAATATTTGACTTTATTGGTATCGGGTCCGTATTTTGATTTCGCAACTCGGTATAGGTCCATTTCTATATTTATGACTTGTCTGTCAAATTTGGTGAGAAAAGGAGTTGGTTTGACGTGATTCGGACGTCCGATTGTTAAAATGGAAGTTTCAAAGTTTTTTTGGAAATTTCATTTGATTTGGTGTTCAATTCGTAGTTCGAGGTGTTCTTTTTGCGATTTGATCGCGCGAGCAAGTTTGTATGATATTTTTGGACTTGTGTGAATGTTTGGTTTGAATCCCCGAGGGCTCGGGTTAGTTTCGGATAGGTTACAGAGTGAATTTGGACTTAGAAAAATTGCTGGTGTGCCTCAGTTTTGGTGCAAGCCTCAGACCTTGCAATTGCGAGGTCAGGCTTTGCATTTGCGACCTCTGTCAGGCTAGCATTTGCAAAGAGGGGTAGGTCAGCACTGAGTATGCATTTGCGATCATCTGGTCGCAATTGCGAGGAGGCCACTGTTCGCAATTGCGAACAAGTCATCGCAATTGCGATGATAGCAGGAATTGTGAGACTTCGCATTTGCGAAGAAAAGTTCGCGTTTACGAGGTTCGCTATTGCGAACCCCATCTCGCAGTTGCTACACCTGCAACTTGTCTAATAGCTGAAAAACGGGATTTTCTCCCATTCTTCACATTTTCAAAACAAGAAAACCCTAGAGGCGATTTTCCCAAGAACCCTTCTTCCCCAAATCATTGGTAAGTGATTCTAATCTATTTTCTTCAAATCTTTCATTACATTTCCTAAGATTTCAACCTAAAAATCTTGTATTTTCATGGTGGAAATTGGGGGGGGGGGGGAGGGTTTGGGTAGAATTAGGGATTTTTGTAAAATTGGGATTTAGACCTTATATTGAGGTCGGATTCCAAAACAAATTACATAAACCGGTCTCGGTGGTGAATGGGTAATCGGATTTTAGTCCTAATTTCGGGTTTGGACCAAGCGGTCCCGGGAGTTGACTTTTACTGACTTTTTCAATAATGACCTAAATTGAATCTTTTGCAATCGTGGGTAATTCCTAAGGCTTATTTTGAATCGTTTGGTTGGTAATTTGCTAGATATTGTTTGTTCGGAGGCTTGTTTGAAAGGCAAAGTTGTGGTTGAGCTTTGAGTGATATTCGGAGCAAGGTAAGAGTTGTGTCTAACCTTGACTTGAGGGAATTAGGGACCCTCGGATTATGTTCTATGTGATTTTCATGTGTTGCGGCGTATATGCGAGGTGACGAGTGCTTATACGCTGCCGAGTCACTTGTGTTCCCTGATTTTCCGCTTTCCTTTATTATCTCCTTTCCTGTCTTAACTGTTGTGTGTTATAAATGTCTTCCATGCTCAATTGCTACATGTGAATCAATGTTATCTCCTGTTATTTATGTTAGATCTTTTCATAGTTTCATGATTCCCTGCTATTTGCTTAAATTGACTTACTTGTACGTTCGGATTGTCAATTACTGGACTAGTCTCGCTGTGTAGTACTACTTATGTGGATACCCATGTTGTACAAGGTTCCCTTTCTGGTTCAGCATTGTATTCATTGATCGTAGAGATCTTTGTGAGTTGATTAATTTGACCGTACACATTGTGTATTTGGTACTGATATGGTGGGATTGGGTTGCACGCTGCAACAGTGAAGTAAGGGAGGATTGATGTGGTGGAATAAGGGTGAACTTATGCTAATATGGTGGGATCGGGTTGTATGCCGCAATAGATATAATAAGGGTGAATTTGTGATACTGATATTGATATATGGTGGGATCGGGTTGCACACACACACACACACACACACACACACACACACACACACACACACACACACACACATATATATATATATATATATATATATACACATATGAAATTTACTGTTGCTGATGTCATTACGGTGAAATAAGGGAGGATTCTGTGTTGTACGGTGGGATCGGTTTGCGCACAGTAACAACCTATGTGTTTCTATTTCCTCGAGTTGTGTTGGTTTTCGGTATTTTCATGTGGAACTCTAAGGATTGGTAATTGTGAATGACACTGGTTTATTTCTTGAGGTTGTAGCTTATTTCAGTTGAGTGTCTTATCTTATTCCGTATTTCCTTTTCTCCCTTTATTATATATTGCGTACGGTTGTAGTGTAGGTGACCTGCCTTAGCCTCGTCACTACTTCGTCGAGATTAGGCTCGACACTTACACAGTATATGGGGTTGGTTGTAATCACACTACACTCTGCACTTCTTGTGCAGATTTTGGAGTCAGTCCCAGCAGTGGCTATTAGTGTGCTTGGATTGATAAGCCTTGCTGAGACTTGAGGTACAGCTGCTCAGCGCCCCCAGTTCCTGGAGTCCCCCTCTCTTTTATTTAGCTGTGTATTTTCCTTCAGATAACTTTATATTTATTTCACACCCTTGTATGTATTATTCTAGTAGCTCGTGTACTTGTGACACCGGGTTCAGGGATTGTTTGCAGACGTTTGGTTAATTTTAGCTTCCTAATTTTACTTTGGATTTCTGCAGGTATTCTAGTTCTTTCTCTTTATTTAATCTAAACTGTTGAAAAATGAATAAGTTGTTCTAATGTTGGCTTGCTTAGCAAGTGAAATGTTAGGCGCCAGCACCGTCCCGAAGGTGGGAATTCCGGGTTGTGACAGGTTGGTATCAGAGCACTAGGTTACATAGGTGTCATGAGTCACGGGCATACTTAGTAGAGTCTGGAGGATCGGTACAGAGCCATCTGTACTTATCTTCTAGAGGCTATGGAGTTAGGAATAATTTCACTTCTATTCTTCTCTGTCGTGCGATTTTATTCTTTCATTGCTGATTGAACCCTTCTATTCTGTTCTCTCGCAGCGAGAACACGCACCACATCTTTAGCTTGACAGCAGTCGGAGGCCCCAGCAGCAGCTCCTACGAGGGGCAGAGGTCAAGGCCGAGGTCGCGCTAGAGGCTGAGGCAGGGGCAGAGCTCAGCCCAGAGCTCGAGCAGCAACACCAGCGGTGGAGCCTCAAGTGAAGTTTGATGAGGAGGTTCCAGCCCAGACTGTGCCTGTTGTCGCGCCCCCTTTTCTCCTTCGCGGAATCGGGTTTGTGACATTCGGTTGGGACAACTCTTTCCTTTTGGGAAAGGGGTTTGCGATTTTGAAGAGTCGCCACCTAACGATTTTAAGGTGCGTTAGGGCACCTATGGGGTTCAACTACAACTATGTTCGATAACCAGAGATAGGGTAAAGGCTTGATATTATCCCAAGGGGAAGGTGTTAGGCAACCCTCAGGATCCACTAGTGTGGTTCCCGGCCAGGTGGTTCTTTGTGAATTTGTGCAATTAACAAATAAGGCTCAAATAAGAGGGGATTTTAAATACACAAGTGTTGGAAACGATAAAATAAAGCAAAGTTTTGAAGAGTTGTAACTAAGCATGCTGACGAATACAAAGGGGGTCCTAGGTTTATTTGTAATATGGATCACATCAATGCAATACCCGGTAATCACTCCTCAAAAGAGAGGCTACACTTGGTATTAGAGCACCGGTCATCATATCCATATCTACCCTTCCCACCCCGTTAAGGTATTAAAGCGCGGATTGGTCTCGACCTCTATTGCATGCTATTACCCGTCCCATTCCTATCAGTCTCGGAGGATCTTAGGACTACTATTACTATAAGAGGGAGGATTTTAGGCTGACTCTTGGGTTTTTAAAGGTAAAAAGACTAAGGCGATATTCAGAACACATAGGACTTTATATTAGGGGAAACATCTAAACAACTAAGAGGCTCATATATACCTCCTCAAGCAAAGCACATAAATAGCATGACTTAAACACATTTAGGGTCAGAATTTAAAATACTAAGACAGGGGAGTTTTGGTTGTTGAAGTAGACCCATTTATTACATAACTCAGATAAGAAGTCCGAATCAGGCCTGCCTGCTGGTTGTAGCAGTTGCTAATTAACATAAGTGGATTCAATTTTATCATCATTACCTAAGGCTTGCCTAAGTGTGTATTGATGATACCCTATAAGCATGATATCTATCACTGATTCAAAATGGCAAACCAATAACATTTTTAAACGAGCAATTTGGATTTTATAGGCATGCTTTCTAAACAACATTAATGAAAGGAGTAAATTGTTTAAACTGATTCAGAACAGTACGAGTCAAACTGATTTTAACTAAACTGGTTTTAGATCCTATAGGCATGGTATCTAATTGAGTAGGCAGGATTTATTTGATCACAACAAAATTTCTATAGGCGTGATTTCTGTAAAATATTGATATTAACCTTATAGGCATGGCATCTAATTTCGAAACTGATTCTTAACCTTGCAGATGTGATGTCTGACTATAGCCATTAGACCCTATAGGCATGATTTCTAAGTGTGGAAGTAAACGTGCAGAACTTTATTAATCAGATCCTATAGGCAGGATATCTATGTATGGAAGTAAACATGCAGAACTTCATTAATCAGATTCTATAGGCAGGATATCTAAGTGTGGAAGTAAACATGCAGAACTTTATTAATCAGATCCTATTGGCAGGATATCTAGGCGTACAAGTAAATATGTAGAACTTCATTAATCAGATCCTATACACAGGATATCTACCCTTAAAACATGCACAATTATCCCAGCCCTTTTCACTAACCAACCCCAATATTCGTTACAACTTATTACAGACCGAAATACTAAATTACATTAGAAAAGTGTAAAATAAGAAGTTACAACCATAGGAAGCCTGATTATGACTTCCTCTCTGAGTTATGGAACAAACCACCTCAAATGCCACTTGTTTCAAAGCCTTTCTCAGACCTGGGTGTGTCAAAGTTCCCTAAGGGTCTCAAGGGACCCCGGGCAGTGCTTACACCCAGGTTTGCATAACCATATAGAGATGAGTGCAGTGTAGAAGGATTAACCCTTATGTGTCCAAGTTTAGAGGGAGCTCAAGGGTCCCAAGGCCAGGCTCACACAAGAGGGGAAGAACCTAGGTTCTAAGAGTATAGTGGAAGTGCAGAAACAAAGATTTATCTAAAACCAGGTTGCGAATAGTAAAGGGTAAGGGTGATTTGAAAACAATAGTAGTAAAACTTAAACTACACAAAATCAGTAGTT